ATTTTTTAAATAAATATTAACGTTTAAAAAATATTCTTTTAATAAATATTTAATGGCTTAATAAAAACATAATTAAAAAGTTTTTATAAAAAATAAACAATTATTTTTTTATCTTTATAGGAATGCAAAGCTAAATAATTTTTTTTTTTATGGAATTAAATTCCTGTTTCTATTGTCCTTGACTGGTCGTAAAAACTGTAATTCCAGTATAAACTCAAATATCCGGGTTTTATATCTATGTCGTAATTAGAACGATGACACGGTGGGGATTTCAGAACACTGTTATCGTCAATCACATGATGTACAATTGAGAAAGTTGTTTATAGCGATCAGCTGCGATCTATTTTCTCGTGAGAGTTTAAAGTCCATTGAGAAATTCACCCGTTTTCAAATGGCGTATTTATAGCGCGTCAAAAATTGTTCATTTCGAAATCGTACCGACATACAAAACAAGCGCAATTTAATTCTTCATCAAAGCGGTATTAAATACCCCTTTTCTTCAACAGAACTTTTGGGTGAAAATATGCAAGAAACGTTCAAAATCAAATACCTTTCAAATATCGACGAAAGATGTTTCGAGAACGATGTTTTTCGCGCGATTGTCTTTCCCTCGACAGCTTCCGTTAATTTTACTCGATTTATCCGATTTACTTGATAGCTTCGGTCCCACACTTACCTGCAGAAATAGCTCGCGCACGTGTTAACTTCCGGCAGGCTGCATTGCGCACCGGGCTGCGACACTGCAATCGATCATCGCCGATCTTTCCGATCCGCGTTCAACGTACGAGCTCCTATTTTTTTTTTTCGAACAAATTTGGGAACAAATTTGTCTCTCTCGATCGGAATCTCGATCTCCGGAATTGGAGTCGCGAACGAACGCGGAGGACGGGGAAAAAAAAAAAGAAAAAAGAAAAAGAAGAAATTAAAAAAAGAGGGAATAACCGATCGCTTTAAACGTTCCGACGCGCGTGGACGCTCGAGTGCTACTGGCTTTCGCTTCTCGATCGTTTTGCTCGAACGCTCGGCATTCCGCTTCCCCTCTTCCGCTCTTTTCGATTACACGTCGCTAATCGTGACGTCGACATTTCTCTATATAGTACAAATCTACGTGGCCCTAGACGAAAGTGAAGTAAATCGTGCCGACTTTCTAGGGATGCCCTGTAATCGCATTACGTATATGCGTATAGGTGGGCGTCGACGTCGAATGATATCGGCGAGAAAGTTCCGATGTTATAAAAATATCGCGGTACCTCCCCGGATTATGAACGTCGATATATTGATGTTTCCAGTCGGAAGAAAGATACCCCTCAGGTATCTCAGCTATCTCGGTGCGCCGGGCGGTACAAGTCGATTGTATTGTGTACCGTTGTGTTTGAGCTCAACACAATGAACGGGAATAAGGAAATTAAATACAAAGAATTAGAAACAGAAAATTCTTTTCGTCCACAATGATAATATCTGATTGTGCATGAAGTCTTATATATCCAAATTTAATTCTCTATTCCTATTTTTAATTTCACGTATTCTTATTCCTCTTATCGTGCTCGGGCTCACCATGAAAAATACCATAACACTTTTCTCAGAGTCCGACTTTTGAAACCTGTCGACGTGCGCGGAGTCGGGCTGATAATTTAAAAATTCTATTGTATTTTCGCAGCTGCAGACTTCGATCCACTCTTATTTACGACACGTTGTTTTCCGAGTTGCTTGCGACGTTTATCAAGGGAAAAATTCAGCCGCATGTACGAGACATTTATCTCCTCTTTGTGCATTTCGTTTGAGCGATAAATGTCGACAGCAGGCCGCGCCGATCGTTGTGTTGGTGCCCTATCGCGTGTTGCATCATTTACATCCGTGTCTTTGGAGGATTATGAAACCGTCGTTATCTGACAACTTTTATAAAAAAAAATGTCAAGTGGAGAGACACAACATGAGTCAATCCCGTCTAATCATTTCCGATTATTAATTGTTAATTGGGCATTGTAATGTTCTTGGTGATTTACTGATCATCAGCCGTATCAATCATATCGAGTGAAACACTTACCCTTGTTGTTTTTTTCTACATAGATAACTAAAACGATCGTGCAAATCTTATCTCGTGAGAGAATCTTTTCGATGTAAGAATCTTTTCGATATTTTCGACAAAATAATGGAAAAAAATCTCCCTCAGGTTTTTTTGCTATTATTATTGAAAAGCTAAAAATAAGATAAATATTCTTTACTCAAATGTACGTTCTAGAACTCTACTCGTTGCCAAGTTATTTTTAACAACGGTAACAAGCAGCAAAATATATTTGTCACGGCAGTAAAAACGGAAATACGCGCCAAGTATATTATTAGCCCGAAATATACCCATTTCGAGTAAACGTTCATTCAAAATAAATTATTCAGACTGAAGAGACCTGCAAATGTGAATTATAATAAATTATTAATTTGGTAGTATAATTTGACAGCTGCCGATAGCGAATAACTGACAGATTCCAAAGTTCGATAAAGAAACTGCTTATCGTGCTCTCGGTGGACTCGTCGGAGGAAAAGCACGTGCTGAATCGGTAAGATTATTCTCCCTCACGTGCGATTTGGAACTACTCCTATTCCACTTTTCATGGTTGG